TTCAATCGGGACTGACCAACTAGAGAGGGCTCAAAACAGCTGCACCAATCAGAGAGCATTTAAACTGAGCCTGACCGATACGAGCATGTAAAGACGAACTATCTGGCTAAGATAAGAGAGATTTAATGGAAGTTCTAGCAAGATTAGAACAGGTGTGACGCATGATAACACACGTAGAAATGTTTAGTGAACCTGACTGCGTGGCACGGTTGGAAGTCGCTTGTCAGAGCGACCACAGCAATGCCCTGCAGAGAGCCTTGCAAGACATTGCTACGTCAAGTCTCGCTTCATTTACACAAATATATGTATCGTAATAATACTTCATCCCATGATACTGTATCGTAATAGTACAGCATCCCATGATACTGTTCCCAGTGCTATGTAGTTATAACGGCTTGTCGCTTTATTCTAATAATTTACTTCTCTTATTTTCAAATCTTTTACATTTTGTTTGAAAGAAATGATAACATTGAGGCTACTGTCCATGAGGCTACTACTGAGGCTACTGGTAGCCTCAGTAGTATAATGGAGGTGACAGTGGAGGTGATAATGAAGATGACAGTAGAGGTGATAATGGAGGTGACAGTACAGGCTGGAACTGGTACCTGAATCATATTCCTGTGGCCTTATCCGCATGAATATAGATGACACAATGTAGTTTTGGTTGGACAGCGGCCCCCACGTGCACTTGGTCACACACGCCTGTATATATGCGATAAATAATTATTAATAAATAAAACTTTTGATAGTGATCATCATAGCAATATGTCAAAGGACAATAACAACAACACAACATAATAATTTATAATAATAAAAATATTAAATAATAATTATAAATAATAATAAATATTAATAATAAATAATAATTAAGGTGTCATCAAGAGAAGCAAGTGTACCCCAGGGTAGTGTACCCCAGGGTAATGTACCCCGGGGTAGTGTACCCCGGGGTAGTGTACCCCGGGGTAGTGTACCCCGGGGTAGTGTACCCCAGGGTAGTGTACCCCAGGGTAGTGTACCCTAGGGTAGTGTACCCCAGGGTAGTGTACCCCAGGGTTGTGTACCCCAGGGTAGTGTACCCCAGGGTAGTGTACCCCGGGGTTGTGTACTCCAGGGTAGTGTACCCCAGGGTAGTGTACCCCAGGGTAGTGTACCCCAGGGTAGTGTACCCCGGGGTTGTGTACGCCAGGGTAGTGTACCCCGGGGTAGTGTACCCCAGGGTAGTGTACCCCAGGGTAGTGTACCCCGGGGTTGTGTACTCCAGGGTAGTGTACCCCAGGGTAGTGTACCCCGGGGTTGTGTACTCCAGGGTAGTGTACCCCGTTGTAGTGTACCCCGGGGTAGTGTACCCCAGGGTAGTGTACCCCAGGGTTGTGTACCCCAGGGTTGTGTACCCCAGGGTAGTGTACCCCAGGGTTGTGTACCCCAGGGTAGTGTACCCCAGGGTAGTGTACCCCAGGGTAGTGTACCCCAAGGTTGTGTACCCCAGGGTTGTGTACCCCAGGTTTGTGTATCCCAGGGTAGTGTACCCCAGGGTTGTGTACCCCAGGGTTGTGTACCCCGGGGTAGTGTACCCCGGGGTAGTGTACCCCGGGGTAGTGTACCCCGGGGTAGTGTACCCCGGGGTAGTGTACCCCAGGGTTGTGTACCCCAGGGTTGTGTACCCCAGGGTAGTGTACTCCAGGGTAGTGTACCCCAGGGTAGTGTACCCCAGGGTAGTGTACCCCGGGGTAGTGTACCCCAGGGTAGTGTACCCCGGGGTAGTGTACTCCAGGGTAGTGTACCCTGGGGTAGTGTACCCCAGGGTAGTGTACCCCTGGGTAGTGTATCCCAAATTACTTTACTCCAAGGGCGCCTGACAGCTGAGTGGACAGCGCTTCGGATTCGTAGTCATGAGGTTCCGAGTTCGATCCCAGGTGGGGTCGGAGACAAATGGGCACGAAGTTTCTTTCACCCTGATGCACCTGTTACCTTGCATTAAATAAGTACCTGTGAGTTAGACAACTGCTACGGGCTGCTTGCTTCCTGTGTGTGTGTAGCAAAAAGGAAGCCTGGTCGAGGACCGGGCCGCGGGGACGCTACGCCCCGAAAATATACCAAGATAACCTCAAGAAGGTAGTGTACCCTATGGTAGTGTACTCCAAGGTAGTACTCCAGGAAATTGCTCCCTAGAGTATTGTACCCCAAGGTACAGTACAGGGTACTGTACCCCCAGAGTACTGTATCCTAGGGGCTGCCAACCTTGAGTCCACAGCAAGACGAAAGAAGTAACTCTAGCGTCTGTTGCACCGCTTGGTTTTATGTCTACACTAACGGGTGTTTTTTGCATGCCTGCACAACGTACGAGCTTACAGTTGTAAACTCTAGATGTTTAGGTTTTTGAAACGTAATGCATCCAGCGGTACATGAGCAAGGTCAAGTGAAAGTAGTAGTTGAAGCACAAATTAGGGGGGAATCACAAGTATAATATCTTGTATGTTGCATGTGGTTTTATTTCTGTGATGAGAAAAGACAGAATGCCCCCAAGTGGGTTCTGTGTCGAGCGATCCATTCCAATGAGTGTTTGACGCTCTTAACAACAGATATACCCTCACTGATGCCAGAAAATTGGTTGACTTGTTCAAACTCATCACTAACCAGACATGCAAGTACATTCACACAGTAAGTCAGTTTCAAAGGGAGTATTAAAAGCGTTCTTTTAACTTCTTTTTGCATTGGCTTCATAAGACACCACAAACAATCACGGAAGATGTCGTATTACCAATTATCAGACATTATTCAGTTGTTGTTTTTTAGAGATAATGCCACCAAGTAGGTTGATATGGTAACAGCGAACTGTGAGTAGAAGGATAGACGAAATAGCAGTGGATGCCACTGAAACTTTCGGATCAGATACTCCAGAGTACTGTAGTGATATATGCTATTTGCATATATCACATTTTCAGCGAAGAAAAACTTATTGAGGATATACTATTCTGAAAGTCATAAAGGGTAGCACTACCGGGGAGGATTTTTTTTTTATCTTGGATTAGTACATTGAGTACAACTCAATAGTCTCGCTATATTGGTGTGTAATGTTGGCTCCGCTGTTATGGTCAGTAAACGTAATGCAGTCGTTACCTTTACAAAACCATCAGCCGCTATTGTCATAACTCGTTACATGTTCTGCCGTGAGGCACTTGATGCAAAATGCATTGATGATGAATTGATTCAGGTTTTGTAGTTTGTGAAAATATTTAACTATGTAAAGTACACCGCTGAAGCACAGGCTATCTGGAACACTTTCCCATGAAATAAGTGTTGGGAGTTTCCCCTTCTTTTCCAGCCGCTTATCGATCCTCTACTGCCTGTATCTGTGTGAATAAATGGCACACTGTTTCATTTATCTCCCCCACAAATCTTCCTCTTTCTCTTCCTGATCTTAAACACTTGTTGGACTCTTTATCGGAGGCTCTGCTAATTTTGGGCGATTTAAACTGTCGGCATACCTTCTGGGGAGATGTTCTGACAAACACCCGGGGCTGCCTTCTCGAACCATTTGTCCTCTCTTCTTCTCCTCTGTCTCTTCTGAATTCTGGTGAACTCATTTATGTCGACTCCCGCACTCCCACGTCTTGAACGTTCTCTCTGCTCGTCTTCTCTTTCTTTAGACTTCACCTGACATGTTCTGGATGACCTCCATAACAGTGACCATTTCCCCATCCTTGTCATCTTCTCTCCTCACCCTCCCATTCTCCTTCCCTAGGCGACAGTTTGCCAAGGCTGACTGGAACCTATTCACCCTCAATGCTACTCTCTCCGATCTCTCCGCTCTGTCTCTCCCTCGAGACCTCTTCCTTTTTTATGACACCATATTAGACGCTGCTCTCTACTCTATTCCTCGCTCTACCTCCCGGGGACACACGGAAGTGCGTTCTCTGGTGGAATGCGGACTGTGCTCGGGCTGTCCACTGTAAGTGTGCAGCCTGGAAGAAACACCGACGCCGACAACGCCTGTTTCATTTATTTTATTTCGGAAGGCGAATGCGGTAGGACCTGCCGTACGGTTAAGTGTGAGAGTTGGAAATCTTATGTCTCCACCATTATGGTTGATACTCCTCTGCCCCAGATCTGGAAGAAAATCCGTAAGATAGCGGGTAAGCTTGTTCTAGATATCTCGCCAGTCCTTCACCTCCGTGTTGTCTTGTGGCAGATCCGGTGTCGGGTTACATCCGAACTGGGTTCTCACTTTTCGGCTGTTAGCTCCGGTTCACATCTTCCTCAATCTTTCCTTACTCGTAAGAATCTTCTTGATTTTTTCTTTAATTTTTTGCACACATCTCCAGCTCCCTTATAATGATCCCTTCTCTCTCTCAGAACTTCAGTCTGCTCTGGCCCCTCTGCAGTTCTACGGCAGCGGGCTCAGATAATATTCTTTGAGATGTTTTGCCATCTCTCTCTCTATGCACGTTTCAGTATTTACTGAATATTTATAACCGTGTCGGGGAGTCGTCGTTAGTCCCTGAGGACTGGTTTTGAGACGGTTGTTCTTCCTATTCAGAAACCAGGTTCTCTTTGGACATCCCCTAATCTCCCTCTCTTCTTCCAAGGCTTCCTCTCTAGTCGTTCCTTTAGTGTGAGGCTTGATACCACTCTCATTTTTTTCGGCAAGACGAAGGTGTACCCCAGGGAAGTGTTCTCAGAACTACTCTTTTTCCTGGTTGCCCTCAATGATCTACTTTCCTCCCTGGCATTTTCTCAGCTCTCTATGTCGACGATCTTACCTTCTGCTGTCAAGGTGATGACTCCTTTCCTCCAACGGCAGGCTTCAACTTGCCGTGTCGTCCTGGGCTACCAATCATGGTTTCACGTTCTCTCCAACTAAGAGTTGTGCTGTGACATTTACTCGGAAGCAGGTCGTTCTTCGACCCACCCCCCCCTCTGTTGCTCTATGGTAATCCTCTTTTGAATAAGGATTCTGCTTAACTTCAGGGGTTAATCTTTGACACTCGTTTGTCTTGGTCACCCCATATCTCTTACCTCCGAGTTGAATGCTCTAAGGCCCTTAACTTACATAAGGTCTTGTCCCATACTTCTCGGAGAGCTGATAGACGCACGCTCCTCTCTTTACATTCCTCTCTTGTACTGTCTAAACTCGATTGTGGTTACCCTGCTTACTCGTCTGCTTCTCCTTCTACTCTTCGCCGTCTTGATGCTCTTCACCATACTCGGTTATACCTCGGCTCTGGTTCCTTTCGTTCGTCCCCTACCTTGAGCCTGTATCTTGAAAATGACATCCTGTCTACAGGATCGCTGTGATCGCTACTGTCTCCTACAGAGCGATCGCTACATTGCCTGGTCCCTACAACACATTCACTCTCGCTAATGTCATGATTTTACCTTAACCCCTCCTGTGGTCCCTGTTCCCTTTTACCAACTTCCTTTTTCTCTTGGTTCTTGTTACCAGTATTTCTCCTCGTGTCGTTCCATCCTTGCCCCGTTGGGAAGGGTCCCCCTTCCTAAGTTTTGCAAAACCTTAACCATGTGACTAACCTAACCAGACCAAACCAAACCAAACCATACCAACACAGCAAAGGCTTCTTTACTGTGTTAGGAGTTGTAATTCTATTCTCCAGGAACATATGTTGGTGTTGTGGTGAAGGTTTCCTACAGTTCTGAAACACCTTTTCGTTGTTCACTTTTCTTTACACTCCCGCTCCATTTCCATCTTCACAGATGGGTCTAAGTGTGCCGAAGGTGTAGTCTATACCGCTGTATTTCCTGACCCACACCTCTATGTGTCGTTGCCCCCAGAGACTAGTATCTTCACGCCATAACTTTATGCAATTTGTTATGCTCTTCGTTAATGCTTTCTCGCTGTCGATCTTCCTTTGTTGCTGTAGTTGACTCTGACTGTAGATTGTTGTAATGGAGCGCCGCCCTGCTCCTTATTGTTCAAACTGCATTGTCCCTCTTACGGTCGTGCATATCCTTGTTGAATACCCGGACTTCCAGGATGTGTGTGTGTGTGTGTGTGTGTGTGTCTTGCTTCCCTCAATAGAATCCTTGGTGACTCAGATACCTTTGATATCGTTCGCCTTATGCGCTTTTGTTCTCGTATTGGCATCCTTATGGATATTTAGCGCCTTATGAATATCCGGTACATTTGATGGTGCTACATAGGCTCCCGGCTTGGCGCCTTCTTTTGATAATTACTTACAATAACTATTTTGTCGAAAGTACTAATATGTAGTGATAGAAAAGCAGAAAGTTAACTTATTTATTATTAAGGTTGGGCAAACAGGAAACTTTTTTAATGTCAACATAAACATAAGAGCTTACGTAACCTGACCTCTCCTAGCAGTCCCAGGCCGAATACATGCTATCTTAGGCCTAATATGTCAGCCCGTCCTCTTAAGGTTTCCCAATGTCAAGAAAACGGTCAATTTAGTGTCATCTGCTAACCTACCAAAGGACCCAAAACAGAAAACGGGACAGTGTGTCATTTTTGCCATCCGCTATCATTTTCTAGTACGACAATTTTTGGACTTATGTAATGCATACAATCGAAATGCGACGTTCTTTGTAAGAGGACAGGTGGAATATATATGTGTGCTTTGCTAGGCCTAGGATTACTTAAATTTGACTTTTAGCTATATTTTTCCAGACAAATTTAAAGTACAAACAGTGGTTTACTGGCGGTCTATCACTACATACTGGTTCTCACACAAGTACCAGGTAATCCACTTTTAGTGTTGTACAGAATGAGTTTAAGTGAAGGAGTATTACCTGATGCTTGGACAAAGAGTGTCATTGTTCCCATCCCCAAACCCCACTCGGATAATTATAGACCCATATCTCTAACATCGTGTGCTTGTAAAGTGCTTGAACGTATTGTCCTTAACCGACTCATGTATCTCCTTAACCGACTCATGTATCGTATACAGGGGCACCTGTCACCCCCACTGTTTGGATTTATGCCTGGGCTCAGTACACAACACTGTTTTGCTGAGTACTTCGCACATATTGAAGCTTCCCCTCAAACAGTCTTCATCGACCTAGCAGCAGCTTTTGATACAGCAAACAGAGAAATCATACTAGAACAGCTTGCCGAGCTGGAAATACAAGGAAAATTACTGAAATGGGTAAAAGGCTATTTGTCTAATCGAACAGCATATGTTTTGTTTAATGGTGTTAAAAGCACAGAGAGCAAACACTTTGAACTGGTAACTCCACAAGGAGGGGTCCTCAGCCCCTTGTTGTTCAACGTTCTGATGAATAAACTTATTAAAGATCCTCCAACTAATAATGAAGACACTGGCATTTGTTATGCTGATGATATATGTTTACAGGCTGCCACCGAGCCTAGAATGCAAGTTCTGCTCGATGCTTTTGCTACTAGAGCTGAGGAATGTGGCCTCCTTATCTCTGTACAGAAAACTCGTGCCCTCATTCCATGTGGTATTCCACCAGCCAATTATCATATAGATGGGTGAGCACTTGAGAACTGCGAGTCTTACAGATACCTTGGTGTCCCCATTAACGACCCTGGGTACCTTTCTTCTCTCAAGAGGAGACTTTGGGAGAGATTAAAGCCCTTGTATAGTATCGCCCTTATAGTATATAGTATAGCCCTTGTGTATTAAAGCCCTATGTATAGTAGTAAAGCCCTTACATAGTATCATTAATGATACTATGTAAAGTGAACTTGTTTAACAGATCTCTCACCCTGTCCATGGAGGACAGAAGAAAATGTATATATGTGGTTAGCATTGTAAATGTGTGGCCACGTCTGTGGTAGACAATAATAATAATAAAACTGGTTCTTTGGACCAAATAGTTACTATAAGTACTATTATTTTAGGAGGATGGGCTGCACAAACACACTACATCCTACACATACATTTGGGGCGCTGGTGGATGAGTGGACAGCAAGCTGGATACGTAGTCCTGTGGACCGGGGTTCGATTCCCGGCGCCCGCGGAAACAAAAATGGGCAGAGTTTTTCACCCTGATGCCCCTGTTACCTAGTAGTAAATAGGTAGCCTATTAGTTTACTGCTGTATCTAGCAATAAAATAGGTAAATAGGTAGTTACCTAGAGTAAATCCCACAGCCCGTAACAACTTTGGGAGTTAGACAGCTGTTACGGGCTACTTCCTGGCTAGGTGCGTGTGTGTGTGGGGGGGGGGGGGGGAATTAGTAGTTGGTAACAGATGATTGATTGAGAGTTAAGTGGCGGGCCGAAAGAACAGAGCTCAACCCCCGCAAGCACAACTAGGTGAATACACATTTCCTCACACATATAGATACATCTCCATATAATTATATCAACGTTCAGAATACACACACCTGACTACCTAACTCGATAATATGACCTTCCCTGCAACCTTGCGACAACTTTAATCAAACATTGTAATTACTTCCTCAATTGTTTGAAGTTTATCACTGTCTGTACTAACCCCGTTCCCGCTGCAAAACTTGGTCTGCTGCGTGCCGTCTGCCGGCCACCACCACCAGAAGCCACTGACCCCCACGAAGTTGTACCCAACGCTGAGGCCGAACCCGTCACCTGGAACCAAACAGAACAGGTGTTACAGGAGGTAAGGTCAAGTGCACTGCTGGCTTGTGTGTGTTGGGTGTTGTGGTGGTGGTGGCTTGTGTGTGTTGGGTGTTGTGGTGGTGGTGACTTGTGTGTGTTGGGTGTTGTGGTGGTGGTGACTTGTGTGTGTTGGGTGTTGTGGTGGTGGTGGCTTGTGTGTGTTGGGTGTTGTGGTGGTGGTGACTTGTGTGTGTTGGGTGTTGTGGTGGTGGTGACTTGTGTGTGTTGGGTGTTGTGGTGGTGGTGGCTTGTGTGTGTTGGGTGTTGTGGTGGTGGTGGCTTGTGTGTGTTGGGTGTTGTGGTGGTGGTGGCTTGTGTGTGTTGGGTGTTGTGGTGGTGGTGGCTTGTGTGTGTTGGGTGTTGTGGTGGTGGTGGCTTGTGTGTGTTGGGTGTTGTGGTGGTGGTGGCTTGTGTGTGTTGGGTGTTGTGGTGGTGGTGGCTTGTGTGTGTTGGGTGTTGTGGTGGTGGTGACTTGTGTGTGTTGGGTGTTGTGGTGGTGGTGGCTTGTGTGTGTTGGGTGTTGTGGTGGTGGTGGCTTGTGTGTGTTGGGTGTTGTGGTGGTGGTGGCTTGTGTGTGTGGGTGTTGTGGTGGTGGTGGCTTGTGTGTGTTGGGTGTTGTGGTGGTGGTGGCTTGTGTGTGTTGGGTGTTGTGGTGGTGGTGGCTTGTGTGTGTTGGGTGTTGTGGTGGTGGTGGCTTGTGTGTGTTGGGTGTTGTGGTGGTGGTGGCTTGTGTGTGTTGGGTGTTGTGGTGGTGGTGGCTTGTGTGTGTTGGGTGTTGTGGTGGTGGTGACTTGTGTGTGTTGGGTGTTGTGGTGGTGGTGGCTTGTGTGTGTTGGGTGTTGTGGTGGTGGTGGCTTGTGTGTGTTGGGTGTTGTGGTGGTGGTGGCTTGTGTGTGTTGGGTGTTGTGGTGGTGGTGACTTGTGTGTGTTGGGTGTTGTGGTGGTGGTGGCTTGTGTGTGTTGGGTGTTGTGGTGGTGGTGACTTGTGTGTGTTGGGTGTTGTGGTGGTGGTGGCTTGTGTGTGTTGGGTGTTGTGGTGGTGGTGACTTGTGTGTGTTGGGTGTTGTGGTGGTGGTGGCTTGTGTGTGTTGGGTGTTGTGGTGGTGGTGGCTTGTGTGTGTTGGGTGTTGTGGTGGTGGTGGCTTGTGTGTGTTGGGTGTTGTGGTGGTGGTGGCTTGTGTGTGTTGGGTGTTGTGGTGGTGGTGGCTTGTGTGTGTTGGGTGTTGTGGTGGTGGTGGCTTGTGTGTGTTGGGTGTTGTGGTGGTGGTGGCTTGTGTGTGTTGGGTGTTGTGGTGGTGGTGGCTTGTGTGTGTTGGGTGTTGTGGTGGTGGTGGCTTGTGTGTGTTGGGTGTTGTGGTGGTGGTGACTTGTGTGTGTTGGGTGTTGTGGTGGTGGTGGCTTGTGTGTGTTGGGTGTTGTGGTGGTGGTGACTTGTGTGTGTTGGGTGTTGTGGTGGTGGTGGCTTGTGTGTGTGTTGGGTGTTGTGGTGGTGGTGACTTGTGTGTGTTGGGTGTTGTGGTGGTGGTGGCTTGTGTGTGTTGGGTGTTGTGGTGGTGGTGGCTTGTGTGTGTTGGGTGTTGTGGTGGTGGTGGCTTGTGTGTGTTGGGTGTTGTGGTGGTGGTGGCTTGTGTGTGTTGGGTGTTGTGGTGGTGGTGGCTTGTGTGTGTTGGGTGTTGTGGTGGTGGTGGCTTGTGTGTGTTGGGTGTTGTGGTGGTGGTGACTTGTGTGTGTTGGGTGTTGTGGTGGTGGTGGCTTGTGTGTGTTGGGTGTTGTGGTGGTGGAAGCGTTGGGTAGTACGCAAGTATGGCGGTGGCAGTACTGAAAATGTGTTTTCAGTAATTGAAAGCCGTTAATAATTGCAGTATATTTCTTGGGTGTGTGTTGAAGGTCAGTGGTTTATGGCTGTGTTGGCTGTGTGATAATATTGCAGCAGTGATGGATACACTCACCAGCGTTGCCGTAGACGTTGCCTACACTCAGAAGAGTGTAGCTTGGGGCGGGTCCAATAGTGACGTTGTCGTATGTGGCGTAAAATGATATCAAGTTATTCGACTGCCCAGTAGGGTATGACGTCACATTGAACTGTCGGTGGAATTAATTACATTTATAATGATATTTTATCGTCCACTACGGGCTCATCATAGCCCGTACTACTTGGAAACAATATCAACTTATTAATTCATTTACATTCAATATGATGTTACAGATAAACGAACCAACTAAATAATAATAATAATAATAATAATAATATTGTATTTACAAAAAGGTGCAATGGGTTGGTGAGATTACATTAGGGTGATATTTTAACATTCTTGCAATGCCTCTAACACGCAAGCCCTTAATCAATTATGTTAGGTAAGGTGAAAAAGTACATTGTAGCAAGGTTTTATATCAACAATATAAATTGACAGAGGTGATTATTAAGTGTTAATATTGGGGAATTGGGTAGTACAAGATACAGTGTATGTTAGAAGCACAAGGTAGGAAACTATGAGGATGAAATTAGGTTCTTTTTGGTTTTACTTTTGAACAAGGCATGTGCTGGATAATTTTTAAATCATCAGGGAGTGAATTCCAAATACTTGGCCCCTCTTATTTGCACGGAGTGTTTGTAAAGGTTTAGTTTGACTCTGGGGATATCAAAGATATATTTATTTCTGGTGTGGTACTCATGGGCTCTATTACACCTATCTAGGAAAAGTTTCAGATCAAGATTAGCATTTATTAGTAAGGGTTTTGTACATGTAGATAGGACATGAGAATGTGTGGAATGAGTGTATGTTGAGCATGTTAAGGAACTTAAACAGGGGGGCTGTGTGTTATCTGAAGACAGAGTTTGTTATAGTTCTAATAGCAGATTTCTGCTGAGTGATGATGGGCTTGAGGTAATATGCAGTGGTTGAACCCCATGCACAGATACCGTATATGAGATAGTGATTGATTAGTGTGTAGTATAACGTGAGGAGAGCAGAGTGGGGAACTGAAAGGCAAATTGCTTCTAAAGTAATGGAAAAAGATCTTAGAGGCAAACACTGAATCTTATCGCGAGAGGCTCATAAACACAGGACACACATGGTAAGTTGGGAAATATCAATACAGGACTATCAGGTAAGCCATCACGAATATCAGAAAAGTCAACAAGCTCAACAAGGAACCCTTCATGGCAGTATATGAATGATCATTACTAGAGTCTGCAACACAAGAATGGTGTCCAGACTTGACAGTCACAGTTGACTGTGGGATTTGAACCAAACCACAACTCTACAAGTCCAAAGAAAAGGACATACAAGTATGAATGGAGGAATAAATATGTTGGAGTAATTATAATAGAACCTCAAGAATGTTTAAAAACTTTAGGTTGATAGAAGAATTTTTTTTTAAGCAAAACAACGTCTTTAGGTGTTCGTAGTAGAATGTGGAATAACACCAGTAAGAGACAACTCATTAGTACGTCCCGAGTACGATTCCTGGGCATGCCAAGTCATTATGCCACGCACACTTCAATACAACTATTGCCTATGTCAAAATATTCTACAAGACGTGTGTTCAAGGAGGTGAGTGAGTAGTCAACTAACCTGCAGTATGTGCAGACGGGTGTTTTGAAAAGGAAAACGGATAAGTGAATATCACATGTGCAAATGATTGTATCATTGAAATCAATGCTTTAATTGGAATCAAGATGTTTAGTCCCTGTGTCGGGCTAATGAGACGCATCCGATCCATCGATCGTCGTCGCCCCTCAACTAACAACAACAACAAAGATGTTTAGGTTAAGTGAACGATAAGTTATCCTGGAACATGTGTGGACCGGGTGTTGAAAAATTAAAACAGAGATAAGTGAGCGGTAAACTTAACTGGGCAACGAAGCGCAGCAAAGGATGTTGAAAAAGAAAACGAAATTGAATGGTCAACTAAGCTGGAAAACTTGTAGCTGGAATGTTGTAAAAGAAAACGGAGGTAAGTTAGTGGTAAACTCACTTGGACTACGTGGGGACGCGGTGTTCCATCCAAGTTGAGAGTTAGATTTGCCAGGGGGTTTATGCCTGTTGATGGACACACCCGGGAAAGACAACCATTAACACCCAAGTTAACACATATGTTTATATCTGAACATATTCATCCGAATATGAACTATATGTTTAAGGAGTCTGGTAGGCATTAGTACCCATGGTTGAGCAAGGTGGGTATTACTAAACATGATTAACGAGTCAGTTGCGCACTATTATACATGATTACGAGTTCAAATAAGTATTAGTAAACCATGGTTGAATCAGGTGAGCTTGATCACAAATGATTAATGAGTTAGGTGGGTATATATACCAGGTTAACGACTCAGTAGGTCACATATTAAAACATAAGGGGGAGGGAATATCTCACGTGTGCTAATAGAGTGTATCCGCTTTCTTTACTGATAGAGAAAATTAATACTAATATATATTAATGTAACTCATAATTCAATATTATTCACCTTTTATCTCTCGACTGATTTTCTCCGTGATTTTCGCAAATTAGATTTTCTGTGAGAGTACGTGTGTGTGTGAGGGCACTGTGAGTGTGTGTGTGTGTGAGGGCACTGTGAGTGTGTGTGTGTGTGAGGGCACTGTGAGTGTGTATGTGTGTGAGGGCACTGTGAGTGTGTGTGTGTGTGAGGGCACTGTGAGTGTGCGTGTGTGTGTGAGGGCACTGTGAGTGTGCGTGTGTGAGAGGGCACTGTGAGTGTGTGTGTGTGAGAGGGCACTGTGAGTGTGTGTGTGTGAGGGCACTGTGAGTGTGTGTGTGTGAGAGGGCACTGTGAGTGTGTGTGTGTGAGAGGGCACTGTGAGTGTGTGTGTGAGAGAGGGCACTGTGAATGTGTGTGTGTGTGGACACTGTGAGTGTGTGTGTGTGAGAGGGCACTGTGAGTGTGTGTGAGAGGGCACTGTGAATGTGTGTGTGTGAGAGGGCACTGTGAGTGTGTGTGTGTGAGAGGGCACTGTGAGTGTGTGTGTGTGAGAGGGCACTGTGAGTGTGTGTGTGTGAGAGGGCATTGTGAGTGTGTGTGTGTGTGAGAGGGCACTGTGAGTGTGTGTGAGAGAGAGGGCACTGTGAGAGTACATGTGTGTGTGAGAGGGCACCTACTCTCGCAGTGCCCTCATGACTCAGAGGTCTTTTAACCCTTTTGCTTCATGTGGCTTTTGAAATTCAATACTGGTTGTTTTTCATCTTTTAAGCCAGTCGAAATAATTGTGGCTACCGCCACTAAGGAGGCCACTTCTTATCCGGATTTATACAAATATTCATTCTGCAATCCACATCCATTGGCAAGCTTGATGGTCTGGCATAACAGTCACTGTTTAACGCTCCTTTAAATGCACTTAACTCTTGGGGCATTTAATGAAACAACGTCATGCTCTTTATTGTGCGAACTGTCGGTGATCTGTTTACAGTAGTGGACCTCCTCGGGGAGTGTCCTTATTTTCAGGATGATCGAAACGCTTGCTTTCCCAGTGTCCTGGTGGATCACTTGATTCTAGATAGAATCCGATGCCTTTGCTGACACTCGTATTATGTTTTTGTTCTTGTATTTACATCCTGAGTGTTATTGAGGACCCTTTGACTATCCTGCGATACAGATGGTGCTGATAGTCTTCCCGGCTTGGTGCCTTCTGATAATTACTTGGACGGAGAAGTAGCAAATGGATTCATATGTTAATACATTAAGCATTTAACCTTGGGAAAGTAAAATGGTACTAACTGCCTGCTTAGTACCTTATATCTTATTTAATCCGATAGCAGAGTAGATATAATAATATTGAATGGTGAATATCTTAAATCAAGACAGTGGTACATTAATGTAGGCATTTTTCTTTAACAAGATGGTAAAATGGGTTGTGTCAGTACAAACGTTGGTGATGAAATCATACAGACTTTCAATGCCAATGAAGTGAATATATTTAGTCATAAATGTAATGTACCGTGTATTTACATTTACAATTGTTTTCAACATGAATGTACAGCAATAGAACTTCCTAGTAAATTACATATAACATAAATAATAATAAATGTTTCATAGTTGTAATATTATCAAAAACTATATTGCTTTAAAATCAGACATTCAGATAAATAAAATTAAGCTATGGATTATTGACCAACGTTCAATTAAATAAACATTTCTTGAAAACACGCAACAAAGGAGAACATAACGCACGTAACTTACCGATGAAGTAATGGTTGATTGCCGGGTATCCATCTCCATCCTGATAGTTCATGATATTGAAAGTGAGACTTGACGATAATAAGATCTTGAGGGCAGTGGTCCACACGCCGCCTGAAGGGTCCAGCTCACACCACACCTGCACAAACATTCACACGGCGACAAGTGGTAAGAGCAGTGTTGTAGCGCAGTGTTTGGGAGTGATGCCACGTCTGTAGTGACACAGTCCTTGACAATATTCCGCCATTGTATGACATACTCCCAGTAACGCAGACAAAAATGACTGTACAGTAATAAGTTATTCAAGTTATGTTAATGTCTAATGAGTTTTCATTATATTATTAGTTCTCATTTTATTTTTAAGGCAAACAAAAAAGCGGCCGACTGTGCTTCAGCTTTAACCTACATTCTTAAATGGATGACTTAACTGAATTATCCATATGGATGTGAGAGTATAACACAGGTGTTAATATATGTCAACACAACATAGAACACGAAGCAATTGATACAAATTAGGTAAGTTTAGGTTCAGAAAATTTCTGGGTAAATAGTGGTTTTGGAATAGGGGGTATTGATTTATGAACCAAACTACCGGGTAACATAATAGTCGTGGGATTGGTGAATTGATTCAAGCGTCGGTTAGACATATGAATAAGTTAAGTTTGGTAAAAATAGAAGTTGCCTCGCATGGGTATATAAGACATACATTTTAATTTGTTCTTATGTTCTTATATTTTTAATTCAGAAGCAGAATCACGACAGTTACGACTACGATACATCAAGTTCGTGTGATGTCAGGACGAGAAAATAACATTAAGTAAAGTTATTCTTGGTTAATGCTCAATTAGTTCCGTCATGCCCCGCCCTCCCCCCCAAACCCCTTGCGTCCAGTGTGTTATACAGGAATTGTTAAGAGCGTTGAGAACGTTACGTGGTCTGCACGCAGCGTTCCTTTCTGATTTGTAATTATATGGGGGAGAGTCATGGAGTAGGGGGGTGTCGATCCCTATACACCACCTTAAGTAGGATTAGCTTCTATTGCAACAACCAACGAGTCCTATGAAGTCTGTAATGGGAGTTAAATTATCCATAGAGTTTTGTCAAAAGTAAACGTTCAGTTTTCATAGCCTGTATCTCGAATCTCTCGAAAAGACCAAGAGAGCGTCACGAATCAACTGTCAAACGTGGAAGTATCCGTTCTTAAGTGCCGTTCTAGCATTCACCGAGACCACAATAGATCGATTTCCCGCCTCACACTATCCAGAACGATAAGTGACATCTCATACTATTATTGTACATTTTGTTTGGCCAATTATGAGTAATCAAGTACAGTATAAAGGAGCTGGATGAGAGCGCCTATGGGAATGCATAAACCCAACATAACGTAAGTCACATCCGAATTCCAACTTAACTTGTAAAAAAAGAGTTAAATAACTGTATACACCTAAGTGTATAACCATTCTTATTACCGACAGGAGTGATACAATAGACAATAGTCACCCACTAAGGGCAGACGTAGGCCGGAACGGCCATATTGGAACCGTCATGAGACCACGCCCAGACTCCTAGCCAGCTAAGGCCTGCTCTCTCACGTAATATAATTATTACTATGTCTATTAAAATTATATATATAGATCTTAATCCGTCCAGTGGTGTTTAATATAAGCTACTCTAAATTTGAATAGATTCTGGTCTGAGCAACGTCGTCGTCTCTTCAATTTCTAGTGTGTAGTTTGGTCATGATTTGATAGTGTTGCCGATGTCTAATTAATTATTTTTCCCATGTAATACATTTATTTGTACAGGGCGTTTGATTAACCTATTAGGTTTATCAGAATAACAAAACTCAGAATCTTGAATTAAGTTTCAATAAATGAATTTCCTATATCCACTGGATTGGTTAAACTCAATCTAAATAAACAAAATTACTAACACTAATTGTGTGGGACCATAAAGCAACCCTATGATTATACAGTCTACTTAAGAACAGAATTATCATAATAATTTAATAGCAATGACCACAACATTCTTATAACTTTAGATCCAAGTAACAGTAATAAAATATAACGTTGTTACGTTGTGTGCTTGCATGACAAGAATATTGCAATATTGAATATTGCATCCGGAAAAAGAGAATAAGAGGGAGAGACAGACAGTTTGACGGACAGGCAGACAGAGACCTTGGCACCTTCATTTACCCCATTTAGTTGGTGTCTATCTAAAGATGACTGTCGAAATTCGGGAAGAATTTTCGCATTTATTTGGTGATGGAAGGTGGTGAAGTTCTAGTCCACTCTTATCTTAATTGTCATAATTGGTAATTAAAATTTAGCCCAATACCAATAAGTTCCCATTTAACTTTGAGAAATTAGCGTAAGCCGGTCTAAATATTGAAGATTTCCAGGTTGCTTCTCGCTTTCCTCTTTGTGCATGTTCTCCAATCAGTAATTCAAAATGTTGTATTTTAATACAGGACTTTACAATAGAACGAGAGAGAACGTAAACTGGAATTAGAACAAGAGGGATCTGAAAACTGGAAATTGGAAGTAAAACGAGAGGAACTGGAAATAGAACAAGAGAACTAGAAACTGTAAGCAGAACTAGGGGAACTGAAAGTAGGAAGAGAGAACTGGAAAATGAAAGGAGAAAGAGGTAATTGCAAACTGAACGATGAATTGAAATTTGGAAGGAGAACGAGGAGGCTGGAAGTGGAAGGAAGAGACCGGAAGTAGACCTCTTGGACTGGAAACACAAGTGAGTTATGGAGAAGTCAGGAAGAGCTTTTGATCGTATGAGTTATAAACACGTTGGACCAGCCAGAAGGAAAGTTAATGAGGAAACATAATTAGTAAACAGCTCCAGAAGCAACTCCAGCAACTTGTAAGAAGTAAATCATTACACTAACTCACCAAGAGCTGGAAAGGCGAGGCATAAGACCCTGCAAGTATATCTAGGGCAGTGTATTTAGGTCAATGACTACATAGTATAATGAAAATAATAATATTGTTAATTGTAAACCATGTTGGAGGTAAATGTGGAGAGTCACGCGACGCCTCAAACGCTAATGGGTGTTAAACACTCTGAAACTCTCCACTCACAGATCGATGATGGATCACTCGCCACTAATTTATAATTATTGTCCAGGGACAAAATACAAGGCTACATAAATCTTAAGGACCACTTGAAGACTCTAGCACACAGATGGCTCCTGTCTCATCTTGTTCATTATATAATAGTTACTTAACATTAAAGTTAGTTTATTCCTAATAGATACACAAGCTCATAATGTTTCCAGTTCTTGCTTGGAGAGTCACTATTATCATGGTGACATTACTAACAAGCCCTAAGCCTCAGTTTACCACAAAACTAAACTTGATCCACCTGAGCCAATGCCTCCCACTCTACTTCTCTAACACGTAAGAAACGTGGCTGGCCTGTGTGTATTTTATAGTGTCCACTAAAGATGTACTCTACACCTCCCTCCTCTACATCTCCCTGCTCTACACCTCTGTTACGACCCTGGGTTCCTCAGTTGGAAACCAGAGGTCAAATTGAGCTAAATAAACTACTTTATATAATGTGATGCGCTAGGCGACGTGCGTCTGTTTGTATCTTCCCTGCCAGACGTAAGACGATTCTTGTTTCTCACAGAGCATTTAAAGACTGAGCTGGTGGTTGATTATTAATTAATAAAATAGGCATCAACTATGTTTACAAATGATTAGAAAGTATTAGTAAAGTAGATCTGAGTAAACTTGGATATAGGGCTGCTGTACGATTAGCTGAGTAGTCTGCCGGCAGTGAGTGAGCTGGAGAAGGCTGAGCCTCGAGGCTGGCTTCCTTCTCTGGGCTGGCATCGTGGTGAAAACAACCTTCTCCCCTTCCTCTTGCTTCTCTCCCTTACCTATTTCTGTGTCTAGTTTACCAAGATAAATATACTGTGTTGTGTTCACATTTTCTGGCATATGCGTGTTCTATGTGTAGAGTATTATTGTGTATTAAGTAGGTGATCACTAGTGTTTATATTGCTAAGTTACTCTAAGGGGGTCCCAGTGGAACCACGTGGGCTCCAGTAGTACCAGTAAGCTACGTAGAGTCCTTGCTACTGTCCCTTGCCTAGTAGACTTTACCCTAGCTTGTGCTCATTGTAAAACCTTGTATCCTGCTTATGTGGACCAAGGCTTTTAACGTAAGATAGTGTGGTAAAGTAATTATTGTTATTGGTGTGAATGTATATGGGGGGTTGTTAAGGGATTAATAAATAAGTAAGTTAGTTTTAAAGGAGTGTCCATTCTTCCTGTGTAGGAGATCTGTGATCTACCTCTAGGCTGACATTTCAGTAAGCCACTATAATTATTAATTTTATATTTTTATTGGGGGCCGGGCCTTTAAGATCTCCATTACTCTGGTTACATCTTGATGCAAACTGCTGACCCTACACCAATATAATACTAGAACCCCCATAGCAGACATATCAATCTTTAACAACCTCCCTGCTCTACACCTCCCTGCTCTACACCTCCCTGCTCTACACCTCCCTGCTCTACACCTCCCTGCTCTACACCTCCCTGCTCCGGTAATGCCACAACAAACAAGAGCTGGGGCTTGTGATGACCAGGTACACGTTCCCTCTGCACGAACACAACAGGTTCAAAGAGCTCGTTCTGCCTTAACTACTCCAAACTACAGAAGTGGTTTTAGCAACAGGTTGGCAGCTAAGACATAGATTTTGTACAACAACATAAATATCTCACAAATGAATGGTTATTAGCACAAAATAGTATCCATTAAACTTGAAGCATAAAAAACATTGATACAGAAACAGCACAGTTATAGTTTTCAACTGTCAAGTAAAAAAATGTAAAATAATAAAACGAGTCATAAATATCAGCAAAGCCATTAGTGGCACTAGAAGCAGGAAATTCTCACGGTGATTGAAGGTTGGTAGAGAACACCGCTGGGGATGACTGTGTAGGGACCCGTGGTGTTGAACCCCAGATTGTAGATGTCGACACAGTCCCGTGGAATAGGGCAGGCTGGCCAGGGGAGAAACAGCCGTCAGGACACACTGCACCAGTAAATCACTCACTCCGGACACACAACAAAGGGTTACTGTCAGAGAGATATCGAGCTGGAGGGAAGTGACAAGTCGGATTCCCTAAGGCAACAGAGCCACTTACAAAAACGATAACGTACTTATGGGAAGCTGGCAAACATTAGAACAATACTT